TAACAGTTGTAATTTTGTACATCCACGACTTACCTTGTTGTGCTTTAGGACTAAAATTAAACTAAGTTTAATTCTGTTTTGTTATTGAATAATTGATATAGACATAAATAATTGTAGAATCTATAGTTGAGTACCACCAGAGCTACTTGTGAAAGAGTTCGTCTAGGGTAGTACTGCCACCTGTAATGTCAGCGTTACTGTGTTCCAGTTTTGAAGGGTAAGTAAAGTTGCAGGTGAAATTACAGGCATATGGGACTTGTCAACTTGTGTCTCAGGGTGACGGGCGTAGTGGCAGTGCCCCACAGATATTTGCGATTTAAAGCTCTGTGTGGCAATGCAACTGTTATGGACAAGCGTGTAGCTTACCATCAGGTGCTGTTCGTTCTGTCACTTGATATTATAAAAAAAGAAACTTCAATAATATGCCGTTTGGCTGATGGTAAATACGAGTACATATGTTAAAATTAACTTCAAACGAAAAAGTATATTCTGAGATTCACAGATTTCTCACAGATGGTGCTACGGCAAAAGTAATTAAAAACCAAAGAACAAACACGTGCAACAAGCACATGAAAAAACTGGTAAGGTCTGCTGGTTCGTTCTGTTGCGCAGTTAGGCGAATGTCAGTCACGGTATGGTGAATGCGTTTGGTTTGAGTCCAGCCGGCGGATCGAATGAATTTTTCATTTCTTTTTATTAATAATAATCATATCACGTATTCGTTTTTTTAATTCATGTTTTTTTTACAGTTCTCATATCTCGACATACGTCACTCATATATACCTATCTAATATATTTCAAATATATATTTTTTTTACATAAAATGTGTGTGAAAATCATAATAATTGATATTTATTTGTATTAATGAATCAAATTAGATGTTAAACACTAATTCATTAAATATTATTCTTTCTTTCAAACCAGGATACGTAAATAAAGAGTTCAGTAAGCTCTGAAGCAATACTTATTAAATTTTTCACTACATTTTTTTTATTGCAACTTACGTAACGAATTAACATCTAAATCAAGACGTTTTCGAGACAAAAACCATATGATATATAAAAAAAGGTTCCATTTTGCATTCCGGCAGTAATCACCAACTTAATGAGGCTAATGTTTGTCATTTCTGTCCATAAACATCCGCACCATCTTTGATATCATCTCGTGAGCGCACCGAGGCACGCATTTACATATATAGATCGCCCACTCGCTCCACCGCGATTTTTACTCAGATACAAAACTATTACCCGGACGATTTAAATAATACACGATGTGTAAGACAGTGTTTAAAAGGAGAGACATCTTCTCCGAGTTTGATTTCACCCATACAGGTTCTTGAAGTGGAATGCGTCGTGGCATACAGAGGTTAATAAAGCGCGCACTTGCTCACTACTTTATTCTTTTTTGTAGTCATAAATAAGAACGCTTAAGAGAAAAACAATTTATGCTTTATCGAGTCTGTCAATTTTGCGCGCCGTGTATCGTACCTCTCTTGTTGGGTGTAAAATGAGTGTATTTATTACCAATACAATTTTATAGAGTGTTTGTTTTTAACGTCTGATTACAAGAAATTACAGCTGATTTTCGATAAAACTTATCGACCTATACTATACTGTCGACCTAGACGTCGTCATTGAATACAGGCCTCCCCCAAAGATTTCCAGACCTAGACGTAATTGAATGTTAATAAGAGAGAATATTTTTTTTACTTTAAAATTTTTAATAAAGTTTTTGACTTTAATTTCATATATAAATTAAATCAATATATAAATTCGCGACATAGACTTCGACAGGAAGACACAAGTATAAATCAGCAACAGGCTTCGTCACATAAAAATCAACAATGCAATTCGCCAGGCTTAGAGAGAATATTGTTTCATCAACGATATTCGACATGCTAGTAATTTAATTTACGATAAAATATGAACTTCGTATGGACCATTCCCAAACGATAATTGTGTCTAAAGAATTTCCCCTTTCCCCTAAAATTTTCATGTTATTTCATTTCCAAATTATAAGTTGTTTCTCACACACAATTTTATAAATTTACCAGATTTGAAATGAAAGATAATAAATAACAACATACATTTGCGTTGGTGGGCTACGAGCGTAGCGACGTAGGCGTAAGCGTCAATATGACGTCACAACCCTACGATAGAGCTACGAGTGTCGTCGTAGCAATTTCAACACCCCCGCCATTGTGTTTCATTGGATGTGCTCATTTGAGAAAGGTTCAGCTTGTGGGAGGAACAATGCCGATAGGCACTACTGAGAAAATTATCCTTTTAATGTCCATTTATATAGTACTTTCTTGACAGTTATTAGTAATACTTTATACCATCTATTTTAATTTAATTGTAATTGTTTGCAACGTCTATATATATATATATACGTTTTTCACTGAGGCTCTCCCAAGTCGTTAAAGTCACGCTTATACATCGTGTATATAACCAGGAATAGAGACGAAATAAGTACCATCCATCCCTGGCAACTCATCAGGCAAATGGGCTTTTTATCACTTTTAAATATCTCTCGTTTGCACTGAAATCAGAAATTAGAAAGTTGAAAACTATTTCCGCGTGCTGTACTAACAGCACGCGGAAATAGTTTTCAACTTTCTAATTTCTGATTTAACGTATTATAGCGCCAACAACTGGCCTGTGTGTACGTCTCCGTGTATTCCAAAAATATTCTGTGTTTATTGTAATAAAGAGAATAAATCTGTAACAATGGGAGGTTGTACCATTCGGTGGTGTGGGAAAAACAGCAAAACATCTTGTTACAAACCAAACGGAATCACATTTCATCGGTACTTAAATATTAAATTTGTATTTTTTCCATTTTCGTCCATTACAGCAAAACTCAAATCAAACTTATCGTATTGAAGTGAAACAATTGACAACACCCGTCAGTTGTTTCGAATTCGAGCTGGCCAATCGGAGCGCAGTTGTAACCGTAATGATTTGGCAGAATAATTTTCAAACAAATTAAATGACATTTCGTCTCTATTTCTAGTCATATAGTCGATGCGCTTATGACATTTATAAACACGAAGTAAAGCAAAAAACCGGAATGTCTCAGTAGCTAATTACGACTTTAGTACGCAGAGGACGTTCGTTAATGTGTATCGAGCTAACAAAACTAAAGGTAGACGAGTACGGTCACGGGTGTCATCATAATATTATTGTTTATTTAGCGTGGACTTTATGCAATTATGTCTGCGATGAGGTCACATTTGATTTGAGCGATTGTATAGTGAGGTGTCAGGCAATAGAATACACGTTACAAGATAAAACCACGCGACGCGCGCGGCACAATGATGCGACATAAGAATACATGACGAGGGAGGGGAATTCCCACAGACATAATAATAATAATAACGCAGACACTCAACATAGCCCCGCAGTAGGGAAATCCTGTGTCGCGGGTGCTATGGACATATATCTAGATAGACGCCGCAAGTATAGCAATTTGTATGAAAACCAAGCATGCCACATTTTTTGTCTCATTATGACGTCACAAGAGATAGTGATGGAACCCTCCTTCCGCTCGCTCTATTTCGATTGATTGAACGGAATACGTTTACATACTCCGTTCAATTAATCGATTCTAATTATAATAATTTTTGTTCAAGTATTTGTTGATTACAAATAGTCGTAATAATAATATAGTAGAAAAACACTAGAATAAGATAGTTAAATCCTTTATATTATTTGTTTTAAAAAAATGTTGATTACTTAAAAAAATTAAGACTTTAATTTTTAATCAACTTCAAATATTAAAATTATTGACCTTCCAATAAAATGAGCTTATTATACAACATTTTTTTGTAATAAAAGCTCTTAGGGATTAACTTAAATAGTGAAAACGCACGCCACTAAAAGTACTTTCGGCTGCCTTAATTAATTTTACTAGATGGTTTTCTGTTGGTAACTGATCAAATTGATGAATGCCAAGACAAATGAAAATGTTACTGCTGACAAAGTATAGTAAAATGTTATTAATCAGAGGAGGTGTACTTAATGACGGCCTCGCGTGAAATTTTTGTGATTTGTTTATTATTTCTCGGATTTCTAACTCTGCTACTCTGCATATTTGGATTGCATCTTAGGTGGAATAAACTAGACCTCCTTCGTCCTCGAAAGTCACGAACTCATACTTATGACCAACTCCAGGTGCTTGTAAAGACAGCGCACTGTTAATTCTTGCATTATATACTTTTTTGTATTACTCGTATTACATATACGGCGATATATGTAATTATTTGCTCACTATATTCGGTCATTCAAGGCAACGTGCTGCAAAAATTATCGAAATTACACATACTACTGATAATAGCTACTACAAAACTGAAAAAAAAAAAACGAAACTTACTAAAAGTTATAACAAAAGAGTTATAGAATATTTTTATAATATTGCTAAGGTCATAATAATTTTCGTCCCTTTATTTTCAAAATCGAGATCGAGAACAGTGTTGCCTAACGTATACATCACTAAATGTTAAATTTGGCCAAAGAAATATACAAGCGGCCGTACCACGAAACTGAATGCATTATACAAAAGTGCGTTCGTTCGATATTCATAGCGTATTAACAAAGGATCACAAATTGTCGCACCAAGTAAAAGCCGCAATGTATTACAAACATGAGGCATACACTCGGTTACATATTTGTTTTCTCGAAATTCACACAAAGCCAAAATAATTGTTTTTAAAATAAATTATGCATCTTCTGATTACAAAATCACTTACCCGTGGAAGGAAACGTCCCTGTTTACCCGTTTACCCCCAGTTATGGTGATTTTGCATTTTATAATGGCACAATTATGCATTTTTCGCGTTTTCGACCGGTGTTTATCTACAATAACGGTCGAGTGCGTTCGGAAGTGTAGCAGCGGCAAGTAAGTGAATTTCACTTACTTTGGGCACGCGAAGTACGTCCTTGCGGCGTCTATCTAGAATCGAGATACATGTCTGTGGGAATTCCACATCGCGCGCCCGCTACGGTCGCGGTGCCCTATCAAAACGCGCGCCGCGCGCGCCGGTCGTTGCCCTGAGCCCCGCGCGTCGCCACCAATCGTCATTCGTCAGTTAGTTTGACGACGGCGTGCGTGTTTAGTAGCCACGTCGCACCGCGTGTATTGCAGTGTAAATAAAATGCTATCCTCTAGAAATAAACACAACGGTAAATCTTCTGATTATTCTGTTCTATCCATCAACAGATTGATTGATCTTGTAAAGCAGAATCCTATATTATATGAAGCCAAGCAAAATTTTCGAAATAGTGGTTTTACATCAAAAAACATGTCTTCACAACGAAAATCTGCTTGGGAAGCTATTGGAAAAGATTTGAATCAAGCGCCAGGTTAGTATGGTTTATTTTGTATTGCATAATTGTACTTATTTATGCTTTTTATATTAAACTCCTCCTGTTGATGAAAACAGTGAACAGTAATTTTGAATATGGTTGAAAATTTAAAGTTGCAAGGTCAAGGCTCCTAGGTAACATAGTACGTCACGATTAGGGATTGCTCCCGGGAATTCCCGGTGCTGGAATTACCCGGTACCTGGTAATCAGTTCCGGTACCACGATTACAGATTCACAGTACTTCCGGTTATAGCAAGAAATTATCTACCTACTTAGCTGACTAATATCGCCAGTTGGCAACTTCCCACAGGCGCCCGTTACTGCCATTATAATGCTACTTAAACTTTTTTAACTTTTTTAAATTATCTCTCAAATAGATATTTTCAATAAAAACCTTAACTTTGATTAAATAATAAGTATTTCTTTATTATTTATGGTATTATTATTACGTTAATTATGGAACAGGTACGGATACTCCGGAAAAAGCATACTTACTGATTATAATTTAAGCTTTTCAAGAAGTACTGGGAATGCCGGGACTACCGGTACTGAGCTGAGCCTAGCACCGGGAATCACAATTTTAGGAACCGGACCGGTTCTGCAGGCCTTAATCACACGATCGACACTCATTTACATCAGATTGATTATGTCACATTACGACTTTAAGTAGAAAAGTTTTGGACAAATATATATATATATATAAAGTTAAAGAATAATGAATAGAATAGTGACATAGACATTTGAACAGCGTGGAAGAAAATTTCAATGTTAGGCTGATTTCAATTTGCTGACCAATAAATCAAAGCAGGTTGTTGTATACTTGATTTTATTGCTGCAATGCTTTTTACCAGAAAAACAGCCATTTAATTCATACTACTGGTATAACATTACATTTTCTAACTTTGCATTTTTTGTTTCAGACGAATGTAAGAAAAAATGGAAATATTTGCGGGACGGCTATGTAAGAAGTATGAAAACTAATGGAAGTAATCTGCATCGCCATATTTTATCTTTTCTAGACGACCACATTGATTGCACAAAAAGTAAACCTAGCCATACCAAAAATTCTAATAAAGATAATAACCAAGTTCTTATTACACTTGATATGATCCAATCGCTAGTGAATGAGAAAACCGATGATGATAAAAATGATGATGCTTTAGTAGATGCCACTAGTGATGTACTCAGCTTGTTGTTTAATAAGAGTTTAGAAGACACTATCAATAAATTTACTGAGCCTAAATGCAGTGCACACCACTCGTCTACAATCGAATATCCCGACGAATATCCCAAAAAAGTTGAGGAAACAGCAGCTGAATGTTGTAGCAGCATTATTATTTCCGATGTTGTGTCACTCAGTACTGAAGGAAGAAACAGCGAAACTGAAGATTTAACAGAACTAAATACCTTAAAGCGTAAATTACACAATAGTAGCGAAACTGAAATTCCAAATTCTAAGACTTTGAAGACTGACCTCGTAGAACCCTCGAAGGAACAGCCTGATATTGCAGTATTTTTCAAAGATATTGGTGAATACGTCACAGCACGCTTTCCTCTTAAGAAGCAGATAGAGTTGCGAATGAAAGTGTTGTCTTTAGTTACACAAGCAGAATTAGAATTATTGCATGGAGAAGAAGAATAATCACAAACTGTACTACTGTATTCCAAATATGATTCTCATACAATAATGTGATAATACGATTTGATAATTCGTATAGCTGTATAAGTTCTGTTGTACCTAAGTTAACATAATTGTGTATTAAGTATTTTAATAATCTAAAGTGGTCTTTTATTTTTGACGCATTTATTAATTTTAATTTTGATTTGTGATCGAAATATCCTTTATGTAGTTTTTCTAGGCTGCCTTCAAATTGTCTCGACGTCTGTCTGTACTCGAGACATAAGATGGAATTTTAAAAGACTGCCTCAGCACTGCTATTAACTTATACTTACCGCACAATCAACTGGCTTAAAAGCTTGTAAACGTAATTGAAAATGATCGTCTACAAATTCTTGCGACCTTTGCAGCTAGACTTTTTGTTTCGTAAAAAGATAGCAAATTGCGAATAAATGACGATTTTTTCCAAGTACCATGTGAACATTTATTATCAATAGAATCTTTAGTGAAATCAGTATTGTTTCTTTCACATTTGTAATTGGTCGTCGTTTGTATTATAACAGCAAGGAATATCGTATGGGCAATAGTTACATGGATACATTCGACGTTGAAGGTGGAGGCATGCACCAATCATAATATCCGTGGCTAATTGGTCACCGTGTCTTTCAATTCGTTCTTTCAATTGTGAACTGGTTGCGACTTAATATTTGTGTTACCAAATTTCTCTGCCCACGACTGAGTCGCGTGTGCGCCGTAAGTGGAATATACCGAGATACAATCAAATGGAGTCATACTTAGAATGAACTTTCTAAACCATATTTCTGTATTGTACACAATACTTCGATTCTTTTGTGATGCACCGTCTTTTATTTGCATTACTAACCTTTCTTTGCTGTTATTTGTTATTACTATGTAAAATCTGATCTCTGATTTACGAAGAGCAAATGATCTAATAACGTAATGCACATGAGGAACAAGCAGTCTGAACATTTATTTGATCTTCCAATTACGTCCAACAAACTACAATTTCACACAAAAACACAGAATAACAATCAACAATACAAAAGATGACCGTTGCTCGTCAGTACAATTTAATTTAATTTAATGTAGGTTGTACTTAAAGTAAACTTCTTAGTTTAGTAAGTCAGCACATTGTTAGACTTACAAAAATAATATATAAAAAAGCGATAATATCAAAAGTGTACCAGCGACAATCATTATTAAAACAAGGCATAGCAGCTAATCTCCCCTTTATACCGCGGTGTGTAAGTACTGAGATAAAACTACTCTATGTAAATATTCGCCGTGATAAATGCTTTACTTACCTGTCGCGACCGCGCGTTTCAATAATAACCATGATATTGCGATGATACGGACTGGAAAAACTCGTTCGGCGGATGTCGATATCCTTAGAGGTTCACGAGTAAGTGTTTCTTGTTAAAAATACATCGCTTTGAGAGTTGTCCATTGCTGAGTTTACGCGCAGCCTTTAGAGGCTGTTTGAGTTGAGCTCTGTATTGTAGACTAAACGAGTCGCTGAGGGCGATGATTATTTAACTCATGGTCAGGAGCCGGTGAGTGTAGTGCGATCTCGGTGAGCGGCTTTCATTCATGCCGCCTCGGGCCACGTTCCACACGAGATCTCATCTTCCAATTATCGACTGCGTTCGCATGCTCGGTTTTGCGATTTTTGGTATTGTTGACCAATACTTATTTGTTAAAATTTATTTCGTACATCATGTGTTAGAAAGAATATGTTGCAAATAGTTGCGTAAAAAGATGTTAAACGGCCGCACCGATACCCTTATAAGGAATTAAACTCAAAGGCAATCTTGATCTTGTTCCGATTAAATAAACACCCATGCCGTCAAATCTCAAGGCAACAGATTGAAACTTGATGCAGTCATCGGTAAACTATTCATTGTTTTGTACAATTCAAATCTTAGATTAAACCATTCTCACTACACGTAGGACTTAGCTTACGTTAAAGGTGAGGTTAAAATTGAAAGATTTGGTCGAGTTGAAGGGATCACATCCCCACCAAGACTTAAGTTATTGTTCAGTACAATGATGAGCTATTGAAGGCCGTTTCGACATAGGTGAACATTTCCGAGGGCCAGTGGATTTGGTGGAGCATTGTGCCGGTGTATTACACAAACTGTACCGAGCGCAATCGCTCAGCGTTTCACAATCGCGAGTTCGCCGACCGACACCAATACCTAAATTAATTTTCTTTTCGGGCCCGTCGCCGGCGCTCATTGTTCAATTTGTGACTTGGATTTTGGAGCACCGATGTGCCTTTTGGTGACACGGAATCCGCCGAGAAAGCAATCTCTGAAGCTGTTTACCGACGGTACATCGCTTTCTTGTTATTGTACAACAGTCGATGTGACATCTTTTCGCCGTGCTGCATACCTGGCATTTATAAATACGAAGCGACTGTTTCGATTTAAACAACAATTTTAACAACATCAGCACCCGATTTTCGAAATTGGCACCATTCTTTTTTCAAATCGAGAAATTATTAATCAATATTCAAACAATTAATCTACGTTAGCTGTGAATTTTTAAGTTCTCGCCAAATCTTTGTTCTTGATAGCACTAACCTGTTTGTGTTACTCAAACACACGAGCATGACATTTTATAACTGTAACAAGGTTATTTACCGTTCTTATTGAGATATTACCATATAGTCGGTATTGTGCGCGGTCAACACGAGGAGGTTTTAAAAGATTTTAATGTTAGAGTGAAGGTCACTCGGTAAATGATCAGAACGCGTTCTCTAACCTCAATGAGAGGATGCGGTAAAAGAGTTAGTAGTCAGAATATAAAACTATCGGTTTAATCCACCGATTAGTTCATATGTCATTCTTCCAAAGAATCTGTATGCAATGATAGGTAAGTGATTGGCAGTCTGCTAGTAAATCATATCTTTAATGTGCTTTTAACGTGTAGGCTTATTAAAATATTGAAATCGGTGTATATCATAATAACCGTGTATTATTATATGTATATACAAGTGTGTGTTTCGAAATCAAAGTTGCTTTATCAACTGAATAAATATCGAAATGTCTTGAATTTGAATACTGAACGTTCTTTATTGGTGGGATTATTGGCTTTGATGGTTAATGCTTTCTCAGCGATTTGTCGGTTGCGACGCAGCGCAAGCGCAGAGCAGCAGCCTACGTGATCTACGCTTGCGACATTTTGACAATCTGTAGTTTACGTAACGTTGTCAAGACAGTAACTGCACGGTGCTCTTTGCTGCAACTACAACTTGTTACGTGTTTATTGAGACATCTGGATTCCTAAAAAAAATAGAGAATGTCTTCTGATCTTTTCTAATTAAGGCCTGATTCCTAAAAGTGCAGAATGTTTTTGTAATTTCACGGCCTCGGTGGTCCAGCGGTTCATGCTGTAAATGCTGGATGAGAAGTTCTCGGGTTCGATTCCCAGTGGGACCAAATTAGGCAACTTATCTAAATTGATTCTGGTCTGGGTGTTCTAGGAAGTGCCGTAAAGTGAATGCTGATTCTCTGGTACTCATAGTACAGGGAATTCCTTGTTTGACACATTTGGTGTGACTGTCTGGCACATTTTTATTAGAATTAGTAGTGTAATTCTTTGTTGCATATTTAAAACTAGTTCAACGACCTAGTGTTAAATCGAAATACTCTAATAGATGCATAATATAATACTCGCATATAGTGGAACGAGTCGAGCGTATTGTATTGGAGTGACGACGTTCGGTATGCGCAGACGGCGCGCCGGTTGTTTCAAAACAAATGGAGAAAGTAACGCTATTTGTACGTGAACTGCGAGCCGTTTCCTACTTCCCCATAAAGCGGCTAATTCTTATAATGCATTGTGGAAAAGAATCGTAGAACCGTAACGACTAAGTACTCGAAGACAGCTGAATAGTTGGCGCTATGATCGCGGTCTCGGTCTGTTTGCTATAACCGCGTTACTAAGAGACAGTTTGTTTATTCTTCCTTTTTACATTTCCTTTAATAATCGTGAGCATCACAATTTCTCCATACGTTGGATCGCAGCTTGAACTTACCAATCTTTATATTATAATTATCTTCCTTTTTTTCTGGATTGATTGCTCTGGTGAAGGCATTTGATAGATTTATAAACAGTTTTGTAACGATATCTATGTACTAGCGTACTAGATGCGGCGTTCCATACACACGCTGTGTTTTATTGATATGCAGTGAAGACACAACACTTCAATATCATTGATTAATAAGTAACAGAGTGTTCTGACTACACAACAAGAAAGTAGGGATAATATGAATAAAATAGTCACTGTGTTCACTACAATATAAAAAAGACTAGGCTGCATGGCCTAAAGATCTTTGCCTTTCCGCAAGAAAAAGTACATACATGTATTTTTTTCTTTTACTTAATTTGTTTTTGTTTTGTTTTTCTTTTTAGTAATATAATAATTATAAATAGCAAGCGGAAGACCCCTGAGTCAAAGCAAAATGAAATATATTATGTAACTAATAGTGTTGTCCCTAGGCTTTACGTTAGTTCCCCAACTATGGATAAATGTCATTGGTAAACACTTAATATCATCTCCCTGCCTAGCTCATTCTCAATAGGTATAGACTGTCACGTCTGTCCACGGTACTGATACTCTTTGACAAAAATTGAACACTAAAATAAGACACTATCACTATTGATAGTGTTTTGTTTGGTACATGTTGAGTTGCTGTGAATGTTCTTGTCTATAGATTGAAGTCGTTTTGTTATTTTTTGCCTGACAGAGCGCGCAGGGCATGTGTCAATCACTTAATAATAAGAAATGTAATTCACGGAGTCGATTGTTATTGTACATTATTATTTAGCTTTCACTGCATCGAAATCGGGTAAGACAAAAGGAACCATCATAATTATGTACCTGGTAATCGCTCTCAAAAGAGCGAACTACTTACAAACAGTCACTTTAAATTTTTTGTCTACCATGGCGAGTCTTTTCGACAGTATAAACAAAATATTTATTGCGAATTTCATTTTTCATTTGATAATGTTGTTGTT